ACAAACTCTTCAGCAAAAATGGTTTGTTCTCCAGCTATTAGAAAAACACTGAAATTAAATAATTATTCCGAAGAAGTTTGTTTTTTCCAAATCATTTGATTAGCAAACATTTTGTTTTTTCGATCATCAAGTAATTCTGAAGACAAAATGAAAATATAATGAAAATGTGTTAAATAAATCGTAGTTCCATAAAATGTATGTTAGATGAGACTATAATTTTTATCTCTATACGAAGTTTTTTTGAATAAAGATTTTTACAATAAATTACGAAGAAACGGTACGGCCGATCTTTACGAAAAACTATTCAGCACGATCGCCAACTGTAAACTTTCGAAACTTTTCGTTTTTAATTTTCAAAATTGGTTCAGAAATGTCTAAATGTCGTTTTTTTAAGAATCTTTAATTTTTTGTCGACGATGTCGGAGCGGAACAACCAATTTAAATGATTTAAAAAACATTCGATTCGTGTTGGAAAATTGTCAAAGGCAGGTTCAGCGGTTTCGGAGAGGCAAAAAAATTCTAAAAGGTTATCAATTTGGTGATGCAGTTTTTGAAAAAAACTGATCATCCCAATAGAATGATTCAAAAAATATATTGCTTGTGTTGACGGTGTGAAACCATGATTATTTTTAAATTAAGAGTTTTTAGTATTATCTAATTGATAAATTTTTATTGATCATTGATTATTTTCATTCCTCGAATATTTAATTACTGTTTGGATACGTTAAGATACCAACTCGTATTTATTCCAAGAAGAACAATATTTTCAAGTGCTCACATAAGAAATACACAAATATAAACAATCATAGAATTAGCACGGGCGAAGTTGTTTAGATTAATCTACACTGTTGACAGACGATATTAGATAGCGTCTATAAAATATAAGACAGTAATATGATAGTGCCCGTAAATCATTAATCACCTTCTTTACTCGCACATTAGTATAAAAATTAACTAAACTTTAAATAATTAAAAATTTTCCGGGGCCTTTTGCGAGGCCGTCGGCAGTCACCTAGCGCCGCTACTGCATATAATAAAAAGTATATGATAAAATAACTTTTACGTATTAAATACTTCAAAATTCAATATTAGTTAAATCTTTAAACTTTTCTATAAATTCCATATTTTTTCTGACTCGATTTATCTAATGTTCACTAATCTCAAACTAATAATATACCAAAAGTAATATAGAAGTAATATCGCGTTTGTAAAAAAAACATCACGATATATATTCTATTAGTAGCGCAAAAACGTTTATATCGTTGTAAGATATTATCACAAACATAATTAAAACTTTTATGTTTAGTATGTTTTGATAATATTTTGGCAATTTAATATTGATTTGTTAAATAAAATTTCAACCTGACAAACTTTGTTTATAAAAATAAATTATATCATAGATATATTTGTTCCGTCACGTTCTAATTTCAATATTATTTAAACAAATTAAATAAAATGCAAAGGTGTATTAAATGTGTACCAGTGGCGAAATAATTTTAAGAATAGAAGACGCGTGCTTAGAGGCTTGTGCCTCTGACGCTTTGAGACGCCGCTACGGGCGGCACTTAGGCCGACATCCGACGAAAGTGTGATATTGCTTCAGTCAGTTATTTGTGATATTGAGTTTTAGTGGATCGGTCAAAGATGTTCATAAAATAATGGAAAATGTATAAAACAAAAAGTTCAGCTGCAATACAGTGGGTTTGGACGTAAAATAAAAGGCGAGGAAAAAAGTTTTAGAGAAACTGAACCTTACAAAATTATGGTAAGTTATTGTTTTATTTAAATATTTGTTTATTAACTATTATTATTATTGTTGTTGTTTATTATTGTTTCAGAATTCATTATGACAAAATATCAATCGTTACCGAATAATAGACAGAGAAGGTGGTGGACATGCTCAGCGGACGTAATTTAATTACGTATTATTAATAATAAAATTTAACTAATTTAACTATAAATATAAATAAAAAGTAAGTTATTGTCAATGTGTATCTACTATTATTAGTATTACTGACTTCCCGTAAATCGAAATGGATTTTTTTTGCGTATCTTTACATTTCAGGGCTTCGGAACATTTTGGCATACCTAGAAAAAATGGATGTGTGGGTGTTTGTATGTATGTGTGGATACAATTTTTCGTCAAATTTGAATCATCCAAAAAACAAAGTTTTTGGCAAAGGCAGGTCCTATCGTTTTGGATATACGAAGATAAAAGTGCAAAAAATGGCAGAAAGGAAAAAGAATTCTTTTTTGTGGTTCTTTTGAAAGGAAAAAGAATTTTAATTATAACTAAAATTCTGAACACCTCTTATATTAAATTTTAATATTAGACAATGTCCGTTTTAATTCCGATTATTTAAGTTCAATAAACGTCATTGTCCAATTCATAAGCTCTTACATTTTTGTCTATAGAATAAAATAATTTAATTTGCATTCCGGAAACCGAGCCCGGCCCAGTCGTGGCAATTAAGGATGGCGCTGTCATGGCAAATAACCATGGCCCAGTCGTGGTAATCGAGCCTAGCCCAAGCCTGGCTTAGTCATGGCAACCAAGCCTGGCCCATCGTTATCACTCCAGATTTCTACCAATGCTGGGCCAAGCTTAGCTTACAAGCTTGGCCCAGAGTTGTACATAGTTGGGCCAAGCCTGGGCCAAGTCTGGGCCCGTGGTACTTTCCCGTATGGGGTACTCCGAGAATTATTCGGGATCAAGGGCGATATTCGATAATGTTCGGTAAATAATGGACAGGGAATTGATGGAAAAGTAACAAGTTGCGAACAAATGTCCCGTGAAAATTGCTCCGGGCGGAGCACTAACGATGATATTAATAATAATGTAAAATTATATATGTGCAGAATTATTATGGCCCGTGTAATAATGATTAAATTTCCTACAAATATCTCTGTCATTCCTTTTCTCTCGCGAGAGAGAAGAGTGTCTCTCGTCCGCGTATTTGTTTGCCGAAGTGATTTATGCTGGAAGCGATCGATTTACGTGCCCCAACTTTTGCTGACAAATAAATTGAAGAATTCCGGAGAAAAATTATTAGTTTCGGTCGTGCTTAAGCATTGCTTGTAGAGCCAAAGCACGAGGCAGAAATTGATGTGATCAAGGATAAAAAGGCAAGAGCAAAATTGATATTAACATTAGATACAAGTTTATATGTACATGTAAAAGAAACAAAAACCTCAGCCCAGCTATGGTCAAAATTAAAGGCGATGTATAGTGATTCAGGCTTCACTCGAAGGATTAATCTCTTAAGGACATTAATTTCTACTAGATTAATTAATTGTGAATCCATGAGCTCATATGTCAATCAAATAATAGAAACAGGGCAGAGATTGAGGGGAACGGGATTTAACATTGATGATGAGTGGATAGGCTCTTTGCTCTTGGCAGGATTGCCGGAAAAGTTTTCGCCGATGATTATGGCGATTGAGTATTCCGGTATAGCCATTACAACGGACACAATAAAAACGAAGCTGCTGGATATAGGCAACGATGTTGCAGTTAATAATGATGAGAGCGCCTTTGTAGCAAAACAAAATGGCAGGTACAAGCAGCGCCAAGTTTCAAACTCCAACAATTTTGATACTAAAAAGGAAGTTAGGTGTTTTAAATGCAAAAGACTTGGTCATTATAAAAATAAATGTCGTTTCAATAATGTGAATAATGAGCCTGATAAAAATGAATTTAACAGAGTTTTTTCAACTGGTAGTTTATAATAAAACAGATTGGTATGTTGATTCTGGAGCCAGTATTCATCTTGTGAATGACAATAACAATTTAAGAGAATACAACAAGAACCTGATGTGCAGGAAGTAAGGACAGCTAACAATATGCAATTGAAGGTAGTGTCTTGTGGCAGCGTTTCTCTTAGGACAGCGGTTTATGGTCAAGTTTATGATGTTGAAGTACAGGATGCTCATTATGTACCACAATTGTCAGCAAATTTATTATCTGTTAGCGCTCTTACCAGAAAGGGTAACAGGGTTGTTTTCAATGATAATAAATGCAAAATTTATAGCAAAAATAACACTTTGGTTGCAGTGGCGGTACTTACAGGTGGAGTATATAAACTCATGATAAATAATATTAATTGTTTGTTAGTTACAGATCCTAAGTCAGGAAATTATGGCATAGACGGTTAGGACATATAAATAAAACAGATTTGTTGTAAATTGAGTAAAGGCTTGGTGAAAGGACTCACCATATCCGAGAAGGCAACATCAGACATAAATAATTGTATAGTTTGTTGTGAAGGAAAGCAAACTAGATTGCCATTCAAACACAAAGGTTCAAGAGCAGTAAAAGTTCTGGAATTAGTTCAGTCTGATGTTTGCGGTCCAATGGAACAGTTATCTATAGGTGGTTCGCGATATTTCTTGAGTTTTCAAGATGACTATTCAAAGATGTGTTTTGTTTATTTTTTAAAGTCAAAGTCAAAATGAAGTTCTTCGTTGCTTCAAAGAGTTTAGGGCTGTCGTTGAAAAGCAACAGGGTATGCCAATTAAAACACTAAGAACTGATAACGGTGGCGAATATTGTAATAAAGTATTTCATGAGTATTTGAGAAGAAAATATTTGAAAGAAAATGGTAATTCATCAAAGAACAAATCCATATACACCTGAACAAAATGGGATTGCTGAAAGACTAAATCGGACTTTGGTAGAAAAGGCCAGATGTCTAATATTTGATGGTCAGTTAGATAAAAAGTTCTGGGCAGAGGCTGTTAATACAGCAGCATATTGAAGAACAGAAGTGTAACAAGTGATCTAACAAAAACACCTTTTGAATTATGGTGGAAGAAAAAACCTGATGTTAGTCACATTAGATATTTGGAAGCGTTGTAATGGATCATGTACCGAAGCAGAAAAGATCAAAACGGGACAGAAAATCTGTTAGAAAGATTTTGATCGGATATGCAGACAACGTAAAGGATATAGATTTTGATCCAGTCACAAATAAAATTTCCACAGTAGAAATGTAGTTATTATGGAAACTATTGACGACGAGCCTAGCAAGAACCCAATAGAACCAGTAGAGAACAGTGTTTCAGTGGGGGTTAATGAAATGCAGCCTGTAACTGAAGAAAAGGATCAAAATGCTGGCAGTGATCATGAACAAAATATTATAGAAATACGAAAGTCTGAAAGAACAAGAAAGAAGAAAACGTTTGATGATTATGTCACATACGCGTGTAACAACTTTCCAATGGAAGAACCAAAACAATTAAGGAAGCAATGTCAAGACCAGACAAGCAATATTGGATGGACGCTATAGCTGAAGAATTAAAATCTTTCGAGGAAAATAAGGCCTGGGAGTTAGTGAATATGCCAGAAAACTGTAGTATAGTGGACTGCAAGTGGGTTTTTAAACGAAAAGTAGATACTGAAAACCAAGTACGATATAGAGCTCGGTTGGTAGCTCGAGGTTTCACTCAACAGTATGGTGTAGATTATGATGAGACTTTTTCTCCAGTCGTTAGGCATTCACCTTAAGATTATTAATGGCTTTATCAGTGAGATTAGGATTAAGCATAACGCATTTAGACGTCACAACAGCTTTTCTGAATGGACATTTGAAAGAATTGGTATATATGAAGAAACCAGATGGCTATAGAGATAACAGTAGCAAAGTATTGAAATTAAAAAAGCTGTATATGGTTTTGAAACAATCGTCTCGAGTTGGTATCAAAAGGTTGAGACAGTTTTACTTGGGCTGGGTTACAGAAAATCTAAGTATGAACCATGCATGTTTATAAAAGGTAATAATAATACTATGACTGTAATAGCATTGTATGTTGATGATTTTTTCGTTTTTTCAAATGATATAGCTGAAAATAGTAAATTGAAGACCGAATTGAATTTAAAGTTCAAAATCAAAGATTTAGGTAAAGCCAAATGTTGCTTAGGAATCAGGATCAATTATGAAAAAGATGGTAGTATAATATTGGATCAGGAGAGGTATATAGATCAACTACTAAATAAATTCAATATGCAAGATTGCAAACAAGCAGGTACACCTATGGAAAGTGATTTGAAATTGTCTTCAGGTAAAATTGAACAGGAGTTACCCTATCAACAACTCATTGGAAGTCTAATGTATTTAGCTGTATGACAAGACCTGATATTGCGTATAGTCTGAGTTATCTTAGCCAATTTAACAATTGCTATGACAGCAGTCACTTCAAAAGTGCAAAGAGGGTGCTAAAGTATTTGCAGGGCACTAAGAAGTATGGCTTAAAATTTAAGAAGGATTCAGAGAATCTAGTAGGATATACTGATGCAGACTGGGCAAGTGACAACGTTGATAGAAAATCGTACACAGGTTTCTGTTTCAAATTCTCCAATAGTATTATATCTTGGGAAAGCTCTAAACAGAAAACTGTAGCATTGTCAAGTACAGAAGCCGAGTACATGGCAATATCGGATGCTTCCAAAGAAGCGATATGCTTAAAAAATTTGTTAATGGAGTTAACGGATGTAAATGAGAGTGTACGTATTTACAATGATAACAAGTCAGCACAAAAACTCTCATACAATCCAGTTTTCCACAAAGATCAAAACACATTGATGTGAGACATCATTTCATCAGGGAAGCAATTGCAGATGGTGTGATCGATCTAAAGTATATGCAGACAAATGATATGCCTGCTGATATATTCACGAAGAGCTTAAGTGTTCATAACATTTGAAGTTTTTAAAGCAGTTAGGTATGAGTACACAAGTTGTTTAGTATAGTGGGGGTGTTGAAGTTTAATATTAAACGCTCTGTGTCTACTATGTTTATGTATATATGTTTGTCTTTTGTTTTATATAAAAACAAGTGATTGTTAATAATGTTTGTTATGAATGTGTTTAGTTAAAGAATATATAATCAGTCAGTCTGTTTTTATCCTTCTGCATAAACGGTTGTATTATTATTCACATAAACTTTCAACATAATTCTACACATACACCACTAGTTTTTCTTTTTTTTTTGTATTTCCAAAGTTCAACTATTATGAAAGTGTGTACTCACAATAAAAACTAAATATACAATAGA